CTTTCACTGGTGAACAGCCTAAGTCACCCACCTGCCTCTTTTTGAGGGTAGGGTCTCTCCCAGTCTTGGGGCTCCTCCCCTCCCCCAATTACCAGGACCATGGGCCCGAAGCTCCAAATGTAAAGTTTCCTTTAAGTTCGTAATCTTTAACTTCTGTCCTTCTACCTGGAACCATGACAGACACCATCCAGGAGACAGCTGCAGACTGCAACTGCTGCAAACCGCTGTGAACCCTGGGCTTGCTGAAAGCTGATGTGAACCAGTCCAGCTGATGTGAATGCTGCCTGGCCCTTCAGCTGGGTCAGTGAACCAGATGCTAAGGATGGATGCCCCATTCTGAATCCCCTATTTACCTGTGTAACATTCCAGCCCTCCTGGGCCCTGACAATGATGCCCTAATTTTAGCTGGAAGTAGTTACAGAAGAGAGACATTGCCCTGTAACCTCAACAAAAAGCTGGAATGTTAGGTCCGAAGGAAACTTCCCAGCAAAGGGGACAAAATGACTACTAGTAGTGCCTATTGACATACCAGGACTCATGCTGGCCTCTAGGATCATGATCAGAAGGGTAACTGTTAAAAACCAAATAGATCCAGATCTATCAACAGGTAGATTCATCAGCTGAAGTAGTTCTATAAAATGATAGAGAACTCGGCCTACTCTTTGCAGAACAAGGAGGTTATTGTGTTGTTTGAAAAAAATGTACCATTTCTATGCAAACCATCTGGGAATCATTAGAGATAATCTGGCCGTACTAAAAAAACATTGCAAAAATGGGGACCCGAGATGAAATACATGACTGGCCTCCATTCTCACTTTCAGATTCCCCCTGGATGGTAAATCTGACGGGACTTTGGCCCTTCTGTTTCTGCTAATTACTGTTGGCCTTTGCATCATTTAATGCCTTAACTGGATACATACATACATAATGGGGTGCATTAAGTTGATGATTATTAGATCCCACTATAAACAGGGTCCTACCACTGAAAGACCCCCAGAGGTTCAGGGCCCAAGGATCTCAGCCCAGGACCGAGGCAACCCCAATCACCAGGTGGAGGTGAAAGCTTGATGCAAACAGCAAGAGGTTTTATTGCAGTTGTTTAACGAGCTAACCCCATGTTAGCTCGGGCGTTTCATCCATCCACCATGGTGGATGGCTAGAAAAGACACCTCGAAGCCACGGCATAGAGATCTTATAGGGCATCGTAAGGGAAGTGTCTAGGGCTATGCACAGGCTCAGGATTGGTGTGCCTCCAGGCTTGGAGGGTTTGCCCTGTGTTGATTGGTCAACTGGTTGTTATGGCCCATAGGACCTCTCAGGGCGGTTGCTATGCTCTGCACATCATTGCTGTGCACTTGTCCATAATGCACACCCAGAGCCGTAAAGCATAGCACCAACAGCTAACTTCTGATTGGTTCGTTGCCATGAGGCAGGCATCTGACCTCCTAGTGACCAAGGCGGTCAGGCAAGCACGTGCTAGGCTGTTATGGCTGCTGGTCCCTTCACCACAAAGCCAAGTATTTGACTCAGAATACAACTCAAGGGGTTCTGGTGGTAGTGTGAGGGCTAAAGTTACATTTCAGGTTTAAATTACTGTGTTTAAGAGATCTATAAAACAAAACCCGCCTCTAACCTGTAAACCCCATTTGCCCAAGGACAGGTAAATTCCTGGAATGCTGGGGGCTGTTGTTCATGTAAGATAACAAGTCACATGTTTTCTTTCTGTAAACAAGGTTGGCTGACCCAGCTGCACAGGATGTGCTTGATCACATGTGGGCAGGAAGTACGTCAGAATGTCCGCTTACCCCTTATTGGACAAAGGAGGGAAGTGCATAGCCTTGTGGGTCTTGCTTTTAGAAGCTCCTGTCTAATGCAATTTGGTGCCATTCTCTGAGAATTCTGGGTATGGACCTGGCCAATATTCAGAGACCTGGCTAGTATTTTATAAAGCTTGCTTTAATTTTAGCTAAAAAAATATGTGGTAGTGGTCCTACTCTCACCCAGTGGGATTTACAGATCTTCTCTGGTAAGAATCCTTCAGAAGTCTACGACTTGCATGTGTCTACTGTAAAATCCTTGAGCTGTGGCTGGTGTCAGCTTTGTGCTAGAAGGGTTTACAGCATTGGGTTGGTTAACTAACGTATCATTGCTACCTTCAGATTAATTCATTAGCTCCGTTTGCTGACTTCTCAGTAGTTCTCCAGTCCAGGCCACCGTCAGATGTTACTGAGCTCAAAGGAAAGTTGTTCACAACTAAGTCTGATCTAGGAGGTCTTATATTCGTGTGTGTGTGTGTGTGTGTGTGTGTGTGTGTGTGTGTGTGTGTTGTGTCAAAAGTCAACCCTGGGTGTCATTCCTCTGGAGAGCCATCCACATTATTGTTTGAGACATAGTTTCTCACTGGGACCTGGGGCCTGCCAATTAGGCTAGATTGGCTGGCCAGGAAACTCCAGGGATCCTCCTGTTTCCACCTCTCAAGCCTAGAACTACAAGCCTGTGCCACCATGCTCAGATTTTTTTTATATAGATGCTAGGAATTGAACTTCGTTTTCATACTGGTGGGACATACATTTTATCAACCCAGCTATCTCCCAAATCCCTTCTTTGTCTCAATCTTAAGGGTGTGGTAGGGTGTTAAGAAAGCGATAAGGAGGGAAATAGCAGTAAAAAGAGACTGAGTAGCTAGGAGGAAGGGAAGCCCTTGAGCTGGAGAAGTTTAGGGTAAGGGGAGGAGGATTTTGGAATGAGTAACTGGTAATTGCGATACTGAGGTAGCCTGGAGGTGTGCTTTGGTATGCTCATAGGCACCACAAATAGCCAAGAGTCCCTTCTGCCATTTTGAATTTGTGGAAATGGAGTTTCCTTTGGGTCTCACACATATACACACACACACACACACACACACACACACACACACACACACAAAACAAAAACAAAACAACAACAAGAAAACAATAGGCACTGTGAACAGAAACACAAGGGTGTTGTTCTGTACAGTGTGAAGAATGATCTACAATAGTCATACTTTCTTTTTTGTATAAATCTGTTAGGTATATAACAAGCCGAAACAAGAGAATAAATTACAAGAGCTAGGGAGATAGGTAGGTAGACAGACAAATTGTGTGTTAAAAACATCCAAGAGAAATCAACTGAAGAAGTCTCATTGAGACTGCCAGCTGGATTTCACAATAGAGAATCCCCAGGCAGGGTGCAGTGTCCCCTCAGGGAAGCTTCCAAGTAAAAGAACAAACAGCACTAGGCAGAGATAACATCAACCTGTATGCGCAGAACTCACAGTATAAGTTACGTGGGGAAGCTGAGGCAATCAGCTGGAGTTTCTAATTGCACTTTCCCCTCCACAGCTGGCCTTCCCAGCCGTGAACTTCTGGATTTTTTTTCTCCACTACTGGCACTTTTGTATCATGGGATAAACAATAGCAACCTCTGTTGGATGGTTCACTTTTTATCTGTTCTCAAGGACATAATGTTTTTAGTCTTGAGCTGTTTTGCACTTCTTTCTGGGCTTACCCAGCCCATCTGTAGACAAGTGGCCTTGGAGGATGCTTTTAGTCAAACATGCTTAAAAGTCTGGAATGGTGAGCTCTCAGTGAGCTGGAACAGCACGTGACAATGACCATGCCCACCGGCTTGTAGCTGGGTGCTGAGGATCTGAACTCTGATCTTCACACTGGCGCAGCAAGGGCTTTAGCCACTGAACCATCTCACTAACTGTCTAAATGTTTGATGTTTGGTGTAACTCCTTAAAAGTGAATAAAAAGAATTTAACCCCACCCTATCCCCAATGCCTGCTATTTTCAGAGGTTCTATGGTCTAACACCCACAGGTGACTGAGTATTCCCAGGAATTCCCACAGTCCTCTGTGACAAATAGGGTTGATTCCCAACTACTGTCTAGGGAGTAGCCTGGCATTGAAATAGATTTGATCCCTGCCCTTTGGCCTTTATCATGGGGTGAAGGCCCAGGAAATAGAAAAGCAAACAAACCAACACTGGCATAACTGATGGGATCAGTGCCGTCCAATACAGGTGAGAGAAGTGGGGAGGATGATCCAATCCCGAGCCAGCGTCTCTGAGGAAAACACTTAGACACATTGATTGGTGCACTTGTGCAGAAAGTAACCTGAAGGGTGGTGGCCCTATACCAGGGGACACAGGAAGCCAGCGAGGTGGCAGGAATGGCTGACCGTGCTATCACTGTGTCCATCTTAGAGTTCTCCACTCAGTAAACATTCCCCACCACCGTGAAATGTTCACAGAACACAGCATAGACATTCTTGAACATGCACACTAAGCATCCCCTCCTGGGGATGGTGCCTCCAGATCTCTTGTGGTTCCCTTGACATGTCTGGTCAGGATGTGGAAGGGCTGTGGCTCTCTTTACTCAGCAGTGATGTTGGGAGGTGTCTTAGGGTTTCTATTGCTGTGAAGAGACACTGTGACAATGGTGACTCTTATATAGGGAAACATTTAATTGGGGCTGGCTTATAGTTCAGAGGTTTAGTCCTTTATTGTCATGGCGGGAAACATGGTGGCAGCAGGCAGACATGGTGCTGGAGAAGCTGGGAGTTCTACATCTTGATCTGCAGGCAGCAGCAAATGAATTGAGTCACTAGGCCTGGCTTGAACTTCTGAGACCTCAAAGCCCACCCCCGTGACACACCAAGGCCACACCTCCTAAGGGTGTCATTCCTAGTGACCAAGCATTCAACCATATAAGTCTATGGGGGACATTCCTATTCACCACAGGAACGAAGCCTGGAGGGGTTGGCAACTGTATCTTGTGCCTGCAGGATCTCTAGTTGCCAGATATTAAGCTATGACAGAAAATGACTGTGTTGGGCTGGGGATATAGCTCAGGGTGGGGACTACATGCATGAAACCTTGGGTTCACTCCAGCACCGCATACACCAGGTGTGGCAGAACACACCTGTAATCCAGCTCCACCATAGCACAAACCATGCTAGCAAGAACACTGGGGCGGTAAGCTCACTTGGTTTTTATTCTAAGGCAGGTGGAGGTTGTGTCTTTTTCCTATAGGCTGGGGTCTGATCTCACAGTCTTTCATGACTGGCTAGCTTTAAAAGAATTAGCACAAAGGATATGAAGGAAATGGGTGAGACCATTAATTTCCAGGAATATAGCAGACCTAAAACAAGTTTTACAAGATGGGAAATTTATGGAATTTTGGCCTTCATGATTCTCTAGGTTCTCAGCAAGCAGGGGCAAGAGGAGGCTCCATTTTCTTCCCATGGCCCCTCATTATTATTATTATATCTTGCCTCTATAGGACACGCCTGGGGATCAATTTTTAAAATTAAGGAATCCATCTACAGGTCCTAACTGGTCTTCAGTAGTCATCGATGAACCCTTTAATTACCCAGTTTTTGCCCCCTTTGATTGGAAATGTGGATCAAGATCAACTGAGTAGCAGAGACTTTCTTCCAAATCAACTTTCCAGCGTTGGGATGACAGGCTGGTGAAGGGAGGACTATCTACATCTTTCCGGAAACGGATGGAGATCTCCCTAGCACGCAGAACCTGTTCTCTTCTCTCCTTATAGTTCCTTCCTTGCAGTCGTGACAATCGATGACTATCGTGGCTTTGGAGGTTTGTGTCTGCCTGCAGATGGAGTTATAATGAAGTTAGAAGTTGTATGACGTCACCCTGGCAGCCATCTTAGACTGACACTACTTCCCGACAGCCTACTTGAAGGACTTTGGGCTCACGTGTATCCTGTTCTCAAGGACATCCAAGCTCAGGGCTGGTTGGTGAGTCTTGGGGATGGGACTCTGAGCATGTCCCTGGGGGCATTATCTTAACCGAGGAGAGGAGAGCTGCTCTCTGTGGGTGGAACCATTTCTTGGTTGGATCATTGCACTCTTATTTCTGACTGGGACTAAAAGTTTCAGGTTCCTTCCACTGACTTCCCCATCTTGATGGAACTCTACCTCAAACTGTGAACTGAAACAAACCCTCCTTTCTTAAGCTGCTTTTGTTGGAGTATTTTATCACAGCAACAGAAAATTAAGTAAGGCAGCTGGGGGACACCCAGGGTTAACACCTTCTCTCAGCAGAGCTTTCATCTGGATAGTGGAGACATGGCAGAGGACAGACACAAGGGTGCTTACAGGAGAAGACCTGGAAGACTGAGGAAATAGAGGCTGTTAATCCCACCAGATGCGAATAAGATCACTACCACAATTCCTGAGCCAAATTTGAAGCAGGCTTTATTACATATTGTCCAGGACAATGAATACTGGCCAGGTCCATATCCAGGACTCCCAGAGAATGGCACTGTTTTATAGATCTCTTAAGCACAGTAATTTAAACCTAAAACACAACTTTAGTTATCACAAGGCCTTGGGCACACATCCTAATCTCCTCCAGCCTCCTATGACACCAAGTGTGACAGGTAGCTGGAGAGGATCCTGCTAGGGCTGGCTACGCCCAATTATGTCTGATCCCAACTTTCTTCCACTGAGGCCTTCTGAGCTTTTTGATCACCTAGACAGGTTATGGTGGCCCAATGACTTCCACACAGAACCCACCGTGCTTGTATAATGAGTGTTAGAGAAACCCTGAGTTGCTTTGGGGAAGCGGCTCAGTTGACAGAGATTACCTGGCATTCACGATGTCCTGGGACGCATCCCCAGTAGTGAATACACTTGGTGTGGTGCTGTACACCTGTGACCCCAAATCTTTGAGGATAGAAGCATCTGCAATGGAAGTTCAAGGTCTGCGTTGGTTACGTAAGGAGTTAGAGGCACAGCCTTGGACTGTGAGACTGTCAGAAAAAGCAATCAAGCAAGCAGCCTATGAGAAGAGGTTCTAGATCCAAGCACTGTTCTGAACCAAACATGTCTGGCCCTACCATATGTCCAGGTTATACTTGTGGCTAGAGAAAAGGCAATGTCATACAGAAAATACCTTAGTGATTCAGAATCCATGTTTGCCTTATAGAGCTTGCTGTGCTCAGTCAGTCAGCTGCAATCTGTGGAAGCTCAGCTGGGGAGTAGCTGACATTCGCTTGCAAACAGGGCATACTCACGTTAGGTTACACCTTGTTCACATGTCAAGCGAGGTGCAGTTGACAATTCTGGAGGCTGCTTTAAGTCAAACTTTCCTTATCCTTAGTATAGAGGTGGGTATAGGCCAAGCCTAGTTTAGCAAGAGCATATTGGTTGTGGCTCTAAGAATGCTGTTCCTAGTGACCTATACAGGCTCAACAGAACTGTCTCTGTTCTTGGGAGACCACTGTGATGCCACAATTCTCTAGTGAGAGGGGCTTGTGAATCTATAGTTGCTGGTGCCAGTCGTGGAGCTAGCAGGAACTCCTGTAAGTCATCCTGTAACTGAGAATACTTGTCAGCTGGTGAAACAGACTAGAACTGCTGCCAGCCGCCCAAGGAGTTCACTTATCCTTACGAGGCCCCTCAGGAATGTAAAGCAGGATCCTTGACTTCACTGCAGAAAAGAATTTTAAGATGAGCCAGTAGGAAGCAAAATCAGAGCTTATTCGATTTTATATATAACATTTTAAATTTTATGTTATTTGGGTCCGTGTGAATGGCACAGTGCAGGTGTGGTGGTCAGATGACAACACTAGGAAGCTGTTTTTCTCTTTTCAACATGTAGGTTCCAGATCAAACTCAGGCTGCCTCCACCTCCTGAGTGCTGGTATTAAAGGGGTGTGCCACCACTCCCCACAAAACGTCCAATTTGAGTTGGATGTGGTGGTATATGCTTGTCATTCCAGCTCTTGGGAGGTGGAGGCAGGTGGATGAGGAAGGGGTTTAAGATGGCCAAGATGGCTACATAAAAAAAAGTTCAGGCCAGCCTGGGCTATACAAGACCTTGTTTCAAAAAAACAAACACAAACAAACAAACAAGCAAACAAGCAAAGCCTGTCCCCAGATCCCATTTAGGCATTCACCTCTCTAGGATGTGGCTTATATACTTTTGACAGTTTGCTGGAGACAATCAGCAGAGGTGAGTTTTTAAACCAGGGCTTGGGAAGACAGAGAAGGTTAGGCTTGGAGGATTTGGTTGACCAGTATTGAGGGGGAGCATCTGCCAGTGGCCGCAGGTGGGTAGAAGCCATGGATGCTGCCAAACACCCTACAGAGCACAGGGGAATCATCCTTAAAACCCAGTCATCCAGCCAGGCATTGGAGAGGCTTACACAGGAATATCTTAAGTTAAAGGCCTGCCTGGTTTACCTAACACATTCTAGGTCAGCTAGACAGTGAGACCTTGCTTCAAGCAAAACAACCCAAAACTCTATTCCTCCCAATCACCAGGTCACAAGTGTCAACACTGCCAGGCAGATGTGATGTCTATTCTTGGTTGCCAACTTGACTACATCTGGAACTAACTGAAACCCCAAAAAATTGCTGGGGACACCCATGAGGGGTTCTTGCTTAATTAAATCATTTCAGATCTCTGAGGTGAGAAGATACAACTTTAATCTGGATCTTTTGAGGGAGGAAGATAAACCTTTAATCTGTGGCACACCTGCTGGCAGCCTATTTAAAGGACATGGAAGAAGGAAGCTTGCTGTCTTTGCCTGCTTGTTCTTGCTTCCACTAGCAAGTCCAGTGCTTCACTGACATTAGATTCCAGTGTACGCTGAAGACCAGCTGAGACATGCAGCCTTGTGAACTGAGCAACTACTGGACTGTTAGACTAGCTGGACCACAGTCTGCAAGCTATTCTAGTAAAACACTCTCTCTCTCTCTCTCTCTCTCTCTCTCTCTCTCACACACACACACACACACACACACACACACACACACACACTGTACCTTGCTAATCTACAGAACCCTAATACAGCAGAGAAACCCAGGCATTTCACCAACGAAGAGGAAGTGTTCCAGACTACCACTCCAGCCTCCCCTTCCCATCACACCCTTCTTGTTCTTGTCAGCCTCCACTATCACACATTAAACACCAACAAAAAAGCTAATCATCTCTCAATGCTCACGAGGCTGGCTGTGTCTCTACTGAAATTAGCCTTCTCGTTGGTCGGTTGACAATGTTGCTCCTGCCAAGAGTGTCATCTAAGACAAGCACTTTGATCTGAGCAGGCACATATCAATCTTATTTTGAAAAATGAAAAAAGATGCCCAAAGAGCACTGTGAACTAACAAACGTGCTGCAGGTTTGGAGTGCGCAAAGGGCTTTCCAATAACGTCTTGTAATTCGACCCGACAACACTCTGGCAGGAGGCTTATTACAATGCGTCAGTGCTGTAGCACTCGAGGAACCAGGTCGCTGGCCGCCTGGCTGCAGACACTAGGCTAGGGGAGGTTAGGAGACAGAAGCGTGCCAGGCTGGATGAGATCCACACGAACCTCCAGGTCCCGCACTCGACTCCCCCACGCCCGCCTCGCCCCCGAACCAAATCATTCTGGATGTTTCCTGTCTCCCTCTTTCTGCACATAGCCCAGCAGATCCTCAAAAGGCGTCTTAACTGGAACCGAAGTCGCACGGATTCACGTGCGATCGTGCGAAGTCTTGGCTTGCAGCCTCGCGAGGACCCCGGGGTGACTTCTAGGACAGTGGCTGCAGATAAGCCAGGCCAGGTGTTTGCAGCAGGTGCTCTCAGCAGGTGCTCGCAGGCGGCCCTGGACTCTGCTGCCGACCGAGCCGAGCTTCCCGGCTGCTGCGCAGTGCGGCGTGCAGCAAGGCGGTGTGTCTTCGAGGGAGCTTGGGGAGACCATCCATATTTTTAAAGGGCTCGCGTCCTGCAGCCCGAAGAAGCTGCCGCTCTGCAGGGTCGAGAGCGCACCTGCGCTGTGCACGGCCACGTGACCCAGCCCCATTCATCTCCGCAGCTAGCGAGGCCCCGAGACAGCGGATGTAACGTCCCAGGACAAAGAGGCAGGATACTTCCTGAAACCCGTCCTCCTGTGCAAGTGCCAACGCCGGCGCGCTGACGCCCGCGGCTCGCCGTTCGCCTTTC